TACCTAGGCTTCGTGCTCTGGAGAGGACACTCCAGCTTCGCATTCAGCGTCGAAACAACACGGGAAGTAACAGTTACCGGTTATAAGTATTTGCTCGATTGGCATACAGCATGATGCCAGGGGCTACTTCTGACGGTGGAAGAGGTCATTGCACTTCACTAGGTAGCTACCGCCCGCCTAAAGTTGAGCAGTCCTCAGCCAGTAAGGTGCTACCTCGTCACAGTTTGCTAACCTCACAGGGTGCGTGGTGTTTAGGGTGAAAGCCAACAAGCAGATCGATAACCCTGGACCATGCAACAATCATAAGAAAACTTCTGCCCTAAAATTGAGCACCTGGAACATTTGGACAATGACCCCTGGCTTTTCTGACGACCTGCAGGAAATAGACGATGTGCACAAGACAGCTGTTATTGAGATGAAACTGAGTAGACTGCAGATGGACATTGTTGCCCTGCAAGAGACAAGATTGCCAGACATGGGACCCGTCAAAGAAAAAAAAACTTCTCATTCTTCTGGCTTGGAAAACCATTGAATGAAACCAGGGAACGTGGTGTTGTTGGCTTTGCAGTCAGAAATACTCTGCTGAGATCCATTGTTCCACCAACTGTGGGGAGTGAAAGAACCCTGTCTCTGCAGCTCCACTCATCAGCGGGACCGGTCACACTCATTAGTGCATATGCACCAACACTCGTCCACAACAGAAGTCAAAGACAAATTCTATGACGATCTGCAGTTGCTATTTAAAAAATCCCTGAGAGAGAGCCGCTTTTCATTCTCCGAGACTTTAACACTAGAGTTGGTGCTGATCATAATTCTCGGCCCACTTGTCTAGGATGTTTTAGCATTTGGAAGATGAACGAAAATGGCCAATGCTTGCTGGAGTTTTGCTGTTATTATGGTCTCTGTGTCAGCAACATGTTCTTTAATACAAAGCTTCAACACAGAATTTCCTGGAGACATCCAAGATCGAAGCATTGGCATCAGCTCGATTTGATCCTCACTTAGACGTTCTAGGCTTCCTAGTATTATGATCACACACAGTTACCAGAGTGCTAATTGCGATACTGATCACTCCCTGGTGTGTAGTAGAGTAAAACTGCGAACAAAGAGATTGTATCACACGAAGAAGGAAGACTACGTATTGACATCAGCAAAACCCACGATCAAAGAAAAGTGGAGGAATTTGCCCAAGCGCTTGAGGAAACCCTTCGAGGCCTAGCTGGTGCAAATGCACCTGAATGATGGGAACATTTCAAGAACGCTGTTTATAACACCGCCTTGTCCACATTTGGCAAGAAGAAAAAATACGGCCAACTGGTTTGAAGCCCATTCAGAGGAGTTGATGCCAGCCATCAAGGATAAGAGGAGAGCTCTAGCAGCATACAAAGCCTGTCCTAGTGAGTACAGCTTGCAAGCTCTTTGTCAAGTCCAAGAGGCTGCTAGGAGATGTTCCAAAGATTATTGACTTCAACTCTGCTCTCAGATACAGATAGCAGTGGACACAGGTAACATCAAGGAAATATATGACGGTATCAAGGAGGCTATAGATCCAATACAGAAGAAATTTGCTCCCTTAAAGTCTGCTACAGGCGTGATCATCCAGGACCGAGCACAGCAGATGGGACACTGGGTGCATCACTACTGTGAGCTATACTCCAGAAAGAATGTAGTAACCAAAGTGGCACTGAATAACATTGAGTGCCTACCTGTCTTGGAAGAGCTGGATAGTGAACCAATTTTAGCAGAAATAAAAGTGGTCTTGGATTCCTTCGCCTCCTGCAAAGCATCTGGGAAGTATAACATCCCTGCTGAAGTGCTGTAAAGAGATCATCACCACTGAGCTGTATGAAATATTTTGGCTTTGCTGGAGTATCACAGGACATGAAGGATGCAAATATCGTCACATTGTATAAGAACAAAGCAGACATGCGACTGCAATAACTAATGTGGCATCTCTCTTCTCAGCATTGTAGGGAAGCTGCTTGCCCATGTTGTGTTGAAGAGACTCCAGGTGCTTGCAGACAGAGTCTATCCAGAATCACAGTGATGATTTCGAGGTAATAGATCCACTGACATGGTATTCTTCCTCCAACAGCTGTGAAAGAAATGTAGGGAACAACAGCCACTCTTTGTCGCCTTCATAGATCTCACAAAGGCCTTTGATTTGGTTAGCAGGGACGGTCTTTTTAAAATACTTCCGAAGATAGGATGTCCACCTCGACTCCTCAACATCATCAGGTCCTTTCATGAGGAAATAAAGGGCACTGTAGTTTTTGGTGGCTCAACATCAGATCCCTTTGACATCTGAAGCAAAGTGAAACAGGGCTGTGTCCTCACACTAACAGAGCTGTGTCCTCGCAGTGACCCTGTTTGGGATCTTTTTTGCTGTCATGCTGAAGCACGCCTTTGGAACTGCAACAGAAGTCTATCTCTGGACTAGATCAGATGGAAAGCTCTTTAATCTCTCTAGATTGAGAGCAAAGACGAAAGTCCAAATGAAATGCATACGGGACTTCCTCTTCACCAATGATGCAGCTGTTGTTGCCCACTCTGCTGAAGACCTCCAACAACTCATGAATTTAGGAAGGTGTGCCAAGATTTTGGACTAACAATCAGCCTGAAGAAAACACAAGTCATGGGAGAGGGCATGGACTCACCTCCCTCTATTACCATCTCCACGCAAT